GCAGTGGGTCACATGACCCCCATCAGATGATCAGCTGCCCCCCCCCCACCACCATTCTCACTCTGCCGTGTTTCTCACGTGCCTTCATGGCCACTCGTTACTTCTCTGAAACAGAAAACCACGTGAGGACGACTCACCAGTCCGGTTCCTCTTTTTCCCTCCACGGCTCGGCCTCAGTCTGTAGGAGCCCTGAGACAGATATCAGACTCCTCCCACGTCCGAGTCGGCCATTTTGATTAGGTCATCTGACTAGCAGCTTTCTGAGGTGGAAACGAAACTTTACTGTCTATATGAAATCGGAAGAAAAACGATGTCCTAACCCTGACCTTAAACCTAACCATAACCCTAACCCTAAACCTAACCCTGACCCTAACACTAACCCTAACCCTGACCCTAACTAACCCTGACCCTAACTCTAACCCTGACCCTAACCCCTTACCCTAACCCTGACCCTAACTAACCCTGACCCTAACTAACCCTGACCCTAACCCTAACCCTTACCCTAACCCTGACCCTAACTAACCCTGACCCTAACTAACCCTGACCCTAACCCTAACCCTGACCCTAAACCTAACCCTAACTAATCCTGACCCTAACCCTAATCCTAACCCTGACCTTAACCCTAACCCTGACCCTAACCCTAATCCTGACCCTAACCCTAATCCTCACCCTAACGCTGACCCTAACCCTAACTAACCCTGAACCTAACTAACCCTGACCCTAACTCTAACCATAACCCTTACCCTAACCCTGACCCTGACCCTTCATAATTGTGAGAAATAAATATTTTCTGGTTAAACTAGTTTGGACTTATTGTACAAACCTATTTAACATCCACTATTTTAACATAATATTATGGATAGAGTTTAATTCAGTGTTTGCAAGATTAATTTCACAATTTTCAAATTAATCTTTATATTGCCATGAAGCAATTTTGAAGCATGGAGCAAGGTTTTCTTGCCTGGGATCTTCCTATTAGTGAGCTAATCAAAATGGCCGACTTGGTCCAGTTATTGACCCAAATCTGGAAACGTCTGTAAACGGCTTTGATGGTGGTTTTATCAGGAGTTTGTACAAATTAAATCAGGACTTTACTAGAGCAGAGCGGCAGACTGGAGAAACTTAATCTTTACTGGTGATTCAGCTTTTTCTTTTGTCCATTTTGTGAAAATATCTGGTTTAAATCGTTGCTCTTAACATCTGTGCATCCCTAAACAATCTGCTTGCATTATGCTAGTTTTAGGCTAATATTAGGCTAATGTGAGGCAGTTCTTGTGAGTGACGGAGCGTTTTGTGATGAGTCAGGCGCTGTAATTGCTGATGGCAGCGCTTGTCCTCTCACTCTGGAGGGAAACCTGTTGTTCTGGGCCAGATGGTAAAGTACACAGCCTGCATTTGCTTTGCTGGCTGCCCGCCTCGGTCTCGGTTACAAATTAGCTCGCGCTGGTCTACTTTCGCCAGGCCGAGTCCTCGTGTGTTTTTACACCACTTTAATGGTCATTATAAACCAGAAGGGACTCTGGAGCACATCTTCCAAAAGCAATAGTTTCTGTACTTTAAAAATATCTAATAAATCGCGTGAGATGACCCATATTTAGCATTTTCTGGTTTAAACCGACTAGTTTTTTTTTCTCTGGCTGTCCTGGACTCTGATTGGTCATTTAGGTGTTTTAAGATAGACTTAGACTTCCTCTATTTTCATTGTAAAAAGTCACAGTGTGAATTTTGAGATGCAGTTAAACATGTTTTGTTTTTTTTCTCACCCTAAAAGGTCCCTTTCAGCTGATTGGTCATAGTTTTACAGCCTAAAATGTGTGATACCACGCCTCAGCTACAGACAGGTTTTTATATATAACAGAGTTTGTTTTTTTTTGCATTTCAGAAAACTCCCAAACTTCTATTTATTTATTAATTTTCCCCTCAGAAGGTTATTTGATATCCTTCAATAACAAAGAACTAAATATGTCCCTAAAACTGCTGTAAATATTTATTTCCCCCTTTAAATGGCTTAGTCTTTAAAAACTACTTGAACCTTAAACCTAGATATAACATTTTTATAAAAGTTTTTAAAACTTTTGGTTAGATGTAATGTGTATATTTTTAGTAGCTATGATGAAAGCGTGAATCTTTACCTAAAAAATAAGTTTTAAAAAGCATATTTCGGGTACCTTTAGTCTTTATTATGAAGTACATTTTGAGGTTTTTTCTTGTTTTAGAAGGTGACTCTTGCTGAGTTTTTCTCAGATCAGTTGTCATCTGCAGATTAATTTTAATAAGGTCAGAAACTCCTGATTTCTTTTGATTGAGAATTGCTGTAATCTGGTTTTCCTGCTGGCTTTGGCCAGCTGTGAGCTGTCTAACTTCAGAAAACAGGAATCTGCCACGGCTCCGTTAGCTTCACACTCCTCTGAAAACAAACCCTCAAACCCTCCTGAGGCTCTGAACCAGGAGTAGAGCAAACTGTGCTGCTTTTGGGGGATTAATTCATTGGCTGCCAAAGACGTCTATAGACGTGTTTTATGTTTTTCAACGAGAGTGTCTGGGGGACGATCTGCTAAAGCTTGTCCGTAAATATGGGCTTCTAGACAGAGTATGTAGTAACAAATTGACCCTCTAGGGGGCAGTGCCACTTTTGATGGGAGATGAGCATAGACTGTAGGCAAATAAAAAAAAAACGCAATGGTTCGCTATGCGAAAAATGGCGCCGGTGAGACGCACGTCCAGGAAGAACGGAATAAGGTAGAAACACATTTTTTTTCCTGATGAAAGAAGAGAGTCTACTCTTTCTTTTGGTGTGTTCGGTGTTTACATAGTCATAGCACAAACTATTCTGTGGCTCTTGAAAAATCAGTCAA